GGCAAAACCGCGGCTTTTTTGGGGTCATTTTATTTCACTTTCCGACCCTAAAATTTTCGCTCTCCCGGGAATTCCGACCCCTGGAATTCTAATTTTTTGGGAATTCCGGCTCTTGGCAAAACCACGACTTTTTTGGGGTAATTTTATTTCGCTCTCCCGGCAATTCCGACCCTAAAATTGTCGCTTTCCCGGGAATTCCAGGTTTCGGAATTCTCATTTCCCAGGAATTCGCGGCTTTTTCGGGTTTGTTTTATTTCGCTTTCCCGACAAATCCGACCCTGAAATTCCCATTTTCCCAGGAATTCCGACCCTGAAATCCTCATTTCCCAGGAATTCTGGCTCTTGGAGTTTTCGCTCTTCCGGTAATTCCAGCTCTTAGCAAAACCGCGGCTTTTTGGGGTAATTTTTTTTCACTTTTCCGACAATTTCGACCCTGAAATTCCCATTTTTCCCAGGAATTCCGACCCCTGAATCCTCATTTCCCGGGAATTCCAGCTCTTAGCAAAACCGCGGCTTTTTTGGGGTCATTTTTTCTTTTTTTCGCTTTCCCGACAATTCCGACCCTGAAATTTTCATTTCCCGGGAATTCCAGCTCTTGGAATTTTCGCTCTCCCCAGGAATTCTGACCCTGGGAAAAACCGCGGATTTTTTGGGGTCGTTTTATTTCACTTTTGTGGGAATTTCAGCCTTGAAATTTTCGCTTTCCCGGGAATTCCGACCCCTGGAATTCTCATTTCCAGGGGAATTCGCGGCTTTTTCAAAGTCATTTTATTTCACTTTCCCGACAATTCCGACCCTGAAATTCCCATTTTCCCAGGAATTCCGACCCCTGGAATTCTCATTTCCCGGAAATTCCAGCCCTGGGGAAAACCGCGGCTTTTTCGGGGTCATTTTTTTTCGCTTCCCCAGAAATTCCACCCTAAAATCCTCATTTCCAACAATTCCGACCCTGAAATTCCCATTTCCCAGGAATTCCGACCTGGAAATCCTCATTTCCCAGGAATTCCGACCCCTGGAATTCTCATTTCCCAGGAATTCTGGCCGCAGGCAAATTCTACCCCTGCGGCTTTTTCGGGATCGTTTTTTTTTCGCTTTCCCGACAATTCCGACCCCAAAATTTTCGTTTTCCCGGCAATTCCGACCCTGAAATTTTCGTTTTCCCGGCAATTCCAACCCCTAAAATTCCCATTTTCCCCAGGAATTCCCATTTTCCCCTCAAGCTCAGGCTCTCCAAGTCGCGACAAATGTAAATAGGGGAGGCAAAGACAAGAAGGGATTTATCGATCACTTATCGGTACTTTATTTAGGGTCAATGTTTAAAAAA